CTGACCAAACCTTAAGGTGTAATACATGATTAGGCTGGAGTCGTACAGCTTAAACTTCCTAAACACCTCCCCTTGCCTGTCCCCCGTTTCTGTCATCGGTACGACATTGCTGACATCAACGTACATCTCCTCTCGCCGTCCCCAGAAGTTGAGGTGCGACAGTCTGACCGTGTCTCCTGATTGGTTGATACTGATGAAACCGATGAATTTTCTCAGGTAGTTGCTCATTACGTACAGCATGACTGTTGAGAAGATTCCGAAACCGATAACAGTGTTTGCTGTGGTCCACGATGCGTCGCCCTCCACGGCCATGGTGACAGTTATGGGGACCATGAACACCATCAGCGTGGTCTGTGCGATTTTGAAACGCGAGATGGCCGCCAGGAGTCGCATGTGTGGGTAACGGTAGACGACGTCATACTCCTCGTCTTTCTTGCCGCTGTTCTTCCTTCGAGGAACATTTAAGTTGAAGTTCTTGACGAGGCATGTTGAAGAAGGATGTAACACTGCTAGTTTGCCAACTTCTGTTTTGAAGGTTTTGGAACCGGAAAGAGCTTGGTTTTCTACACACCAAAGCTATAGAATGGTATCTGCACAAGTTAGCAGTGTTCTGTGACAGAAATCTAGTAAGACCAATATGGTTGGTCCTCTTCAGAACAGACCTACCAATGGTAATGCTGATAGCATAATTGTGAAGCTGCTGAATCCTGAATACACTGATACAGATACCTGCAACAGAAAAAAAAGACAAACAAGGAGAAGTCGTAGACATCATCCCTCCATGAAATAGCTTGTTATCTTGTAATCTTTTGGTGTATTTCAATAGAGACATTATGAGTCAAACTTTGTTTTTATCAGCAGAATGATTTGTGGTGGCACTTTGTATTTTATCAAGCTGTCATGTGCAGGCGTTTACTGTCTTGTTACCATGGTTTGTTTACTTTGATGGCCAGCAGGTCATTTGCCTTAGCCTGGGTACCATCCCCAGTAGTATATTCGCAAACTCTATAACTGTTATAGAGTTTGCGAATATACTACTGGGGATGGTACCCAGGCTACACTTGCCTGTACATGTAGGTCAATGACCAGGCAAATGACCTGCAGACCAGACAAACAGATTTATTTTCCTGCAGACTGTCTAGGGGTAAAAATAGATAGGGCTGCCTGGGTCTGACCTGCCAGCTGGAGGTATAAACAAAAACACTCTGTCCCAACTTTTGGGTCAAACAGACTATCCTATTATGAAGTAGGGGTAGAAAAAGTGAAAATCCTTTTAAATTAAGCAATAAAAATATGCGACAACCTGCTAATGCACTCCAAAACACAAAGAGACTCAACAACTACCCACATACCAAAAATCATACCAAACCATCCCCCAGATTTTCCAAACATTCAACACAAAAAGTCCAACATTAAACATTTTGTAAATATCAAACGCAAACAGCTAGGGGACCCAAATTTAAACCACTAAACCATGGTAATAACAACTACATGCTACCTTAATATCGCACAAACAGTCCATAACGCGAAAACAACAGAATAAAAAAATTAAACTGCAGTACCAAGGTCAATCACCAGGGGCTCAAAGTCAACCTACACAATCTCCAAGGCCCCATCCATCAATCTGCCAAATATCGTACAGTTCCTTCTCACCGATTTTCAGATATCAGACCAAACATGAAACGGAGTAAAAACAGTACCCCCATTTTCATGGAGGGTAATCATAATAAATTATATTACATTGTCAATAGAAAATATCTTGTATAGTCTTGCCCTAAGCTAAGGAGACTTCATTCTTCCAAGACCTAGACGTCCTTACTTCAAATTGAACTTGTGTCTTTCTTCACGCATGTTAGTTGATCCGAGGACATTTATATTTTTAGGATTTGGCTGCTCACAGTTTTCGACCTGCACCATATTTATTCTTCCCCCCTCCCCACTCCAACATGTTTAGCATGTTCACTTCCCCAATATGACTGTCAAGGCAAAAAGACATCTCTGCAATACCTACACACTTCACTGTGGTACTGCACAGTACCGCTGAGATTCAGTTCGATAAGAATATCGAAGTAAACTCTGCTGTCTTTGTGAAAAACTGAAGATACGTCCCGTGTCCTCCGGAAAACACATGTGTTGACCTTTGACCTGATGTATCCCGTGAAGCAGTGCGGTACACAAAATGGCGGCAAACGGCATGGAGGAAGATTTTGACGACGGAGAACAGCCAGAAATCACGGTAACGCCTGCTTTCTCATTCATTTTAAGACTCTTGTTACTTGGAATTATCTTCCATGATACATAGAGACGATATCGCAGTGTTACTGAGGTTAACGTGAGTCCAAAGCGTTCTTGTGACCACTTCCCACCGGCCATCCCAGTCCAAGTCTGCGTGCAACTTTCGATTATAATTTAGTTTTTACTTATTTTAGGGGTACTGAATTTGGTCTTAGTACTTTTCTCACGATATTATTGATAAATGCACAATGATATTAAAATCAAGTAAGATACCTAAATTCCTTCCTTCCAACTGAAAACATAGTTAATGTTGTAATCTTTCTTTTTGTCACCATAATTTTTCCATCGATTAATCCCTAGATTTCTCAATATGCAGCAGTATGATGTTAAATAGACTGTACTATAGTACAGTACAGTAAGTACAGAAAGGGCATTGTCAATAGATAGCTTTAAACAATGTCTAGCGTTAGATGTTCAAGGGTTAGGTGTAACAAGTCGATCGGTGTAATGTAGTCAGCTGCCGCCACCCCGCATTCCTGCGAAGTTGGTGTGTTATGCCGAAGGGTGGTTATACCGGCTATACAGATAACGTTACAGATATAGATACTACAGACATTAAGATTCTCACCTTTTAATGTCACTCATCTCCTTATTCCCCAGACCATCCCTGATCCCCACCTGCGGCTAGGTATATCAGCACGATGGGGCACGGGGAATCAGCTGGCGGTCCACGCGGCGCTCCATCCACCGCAAGGTATTCACCCTACTAGCTAATCCCAGCATGTAACGTTATATGTACCATCAGGGGTGCCAGAGTCCAGTGTACAGTGCAATTTTACAGAATACAGTGCAATTTTACAGAATACAGTACAATCGTATTAATTTTATACAGTGCAACTTTACCAAATACAATACAATACAATGTCACATCCTCCATATAACCCGCAAAAGACACCCCATCTTAACACAGTACACACTTTGTAATGAAATCCTTACCAGTGTCAAATCCCACCCCTATCTCGGAGTACATCTGTCCGATGATTTGCGGTGGGATACCCATATCAAACACACCACTAGTAAAGCCGGTAGAGTTCTGGGGGTCATTCGGCGCAACTTGACCCATTGTCCATCTAGGGTCAAGGCCACTTGCTATAAAGCGCTGGTACGGCCCCACTTGGAATATAGTGCCACCGTCTGGGACCCGCATACCATCAAAGGGATACAGGCGGTAGAGGCTGTCCAGCGCAGGGCCGCCCGGGTGACCCTCAATGACTACAGGCGAACTAGCAGTGTGACACAAATGCTCAATGACCTGCAATGGCCTCTTCTCTCCGAAAGGAGGAGGAGCGCCCGCCTCACAACATTTTTTAAGATAGTTCACAACACCGTGGCAGTTAGAACCCAAATTGGCAGTTTTTTGCAGCCCACACAGGGGCGTACCCGGGGGAGCCATTCTCTTAAATATCGGCCCATTAACGCACGCACTGACACATACAGATTTTCTTTTTTTCCCCGTACCATTCCACAGTGGAACTCCTTGCCCGGCCCGGTAGTTATGGCTCCCAATGTTGAGTCGTTCCGGGCCGGGCTGGCGGCCTGCCCGCCTTAGCCTTGACCTCCTCCCCCCCTAACGACACCCTCACGGGGTTATCTGGGGGTAACCAAGACGAAGACGAAGACAATCGTATTAGTCTACAGTGCAATTTTACTAGTGTACTAGTACAATACAGTGCAGTCCGTTTTAGTATACAGTGCAACTTTACTAGTATTCTAGTACAATACAATGCAGTCGTATTAGTATACTTATACAATTGCACTGTATTACGTAAAATTGCACTGTATACTAATACATGTACAATATATTGTACTGTATTCTGTAATATTGCACTGTACACAGTAAATTGCACTGTATTCCGTAAAAATGCACTGTATACTCCGGCACCCCTGACCATAGGCAGTGGTATAAATTTTCAGTGCTCTGCAATATTGCATAAGAGTCCAAATTTTGGTCTGCAATTCGGAAATATTTTCTGCAAATACACAAGCCTCCATACTAGGGTTAGCGTAACCCTAAGTTAGGGTTCCATCTGTTCAAGAGTCAAGACTGATATTTCTTTCTCCCAGAGGGTGTGACCTCGGGTATCCAGGAGAGTCCACTGGTACATGAGGTGAGGTGGGGCACTCAGGAGGTCAATAACCCCATCATCAGGAAACTCATCAACGAGACACATGGTAACAACATTAGTTCCAACTGTTGTAAAAAATCCTAGGGTACCGTTTTAACTTTCCCTTTTGCCAAACCTTCTCATATT